AACGCATCCCCAAGGGGTCCCATACGTTCGGGCGTTCGGCCCGTCCCAAACGTCGGTTACCCTGTATATATATTTTTATTTATTCATTTATTTATTTACATATTTTTAAGGGTATAAAAGAAATATTAAAATAACAGGCCGCGGACAGGGCCTCATTGGCCGAGGCCGCGGCCGACTCTTTCGGCCGCGGCGTCCGAATTGCCCGCGGCCTAGGCCGCGGGTGTCACGTAGCCGAGGGGTATAGACCAGATCGTCGGGAGTACCACAGGCTGCGTGCCTCACCTTATGAGTCCCCAGTTTCAGCTGTACCCAAAAAGGGAGGAATGCTAAGGATGTGCATTGACTGTTGTGGTTTCGATGCCAGCACCATGCACAAATGTTGAGCCCCGACTTGCCACGACAACCTCTCCACGGAGCCCCTACTTACCCTGCACCCTGGAGCGAGTACACCACGACAACTGTTGCGGAAAGCTACAGGGTGCAGGGATGTATTCGCTCCAGCGAGACAGATCTGCTGTCCAGGTGTCGTTCGTTCCACAGGTCAGACCCGAGGATCAGACCAAAGCGCCTTTCAGACCAGGTTTGTCTGTATCAGCTTGTGGTCGGATTGCGTCTGTATAATACCGTCCTCTGCTCAGCCGCCATCCAACCACCTACGGAATCGCAGTGGAAAAACATCATTCCTGAATCTAACCGCCATTAGACATCATGTTCGGAGACATCAAGTTGCAATGAGTCGCTAAAATTTTGTTAAGTATGGCCCCCCAAAAGTACTGAAAATGAAAGAAAAGTCTGATGCAAATCAGAAAATAAATACTGCATGGCTGCATTCCAGATGATGGTGGGCCTGGCTCCACTAATCTCCACATGCACAAAAGCTTTGTATCTTCCCATGTTCTGCTGCAGGATTCATTCTCGTTTTGCAAATTTGGGGAGTAGTGCAGCGAGGCCCAGAGCTTGGGATTGATTGTCAGAGTCTGTTGTGCCCGAACGGGACGTAGCGCAACAACCGACACCGCAGCATTTCAGTTCCTCAATTGTCTCCCACATTGTAGGGAGCAATCCTCCTCTTTTTTTTTTCGACAATCCACCCAGCTCGCTAGTAGAGGTGATCCTGACGGCTCCTTTTATCTGGTGTAACTCCCGTCCCATCTCCGTCCTCACCCTGTTTATCGCGCGTCCAAACTCTCGCCTTTATTGTATTTCTTTCTGAAAGCGATCAGCTTTCTTTGCTGCAGACCGATGCTCAGAGAGTGAAGGCTACAACAATATTGTTTGAATTGTGGAGCACGGCGAGATGCTTGTGCAGCAGCCACTGTGCAAGGACGGACTACCGAAGCCACAGATGCAGCTAGGAGTGGCTTTCACGGGTCATCGGGATCCTAAGGGATATCGGTCGTTCACAAGGAGAGTATTTTTTTGAAAAAAAAGAAAAGGAGAGTACCTCAAACACTTCTACACTACAAGAAAGGTCTTCAATGGAAGCAACGACATTTTTTTTTTTTTTTTTTTTTTTTTTTTAAGTAAGGTGGTTCCACTCTATATTGCTGGGGAGCTGCACGACAAAACATTAAGGGTTCTGCAGACGGAGGGCTCTGAACCTAAGGGAGTGGGAGTGCAAGGGCCCAGGCCTTGGGGCCACCTAGCAGGGGCAATCCGCATCGTACTCACCTGGTCAACTTGAAGGTGAAGGTACAGTAATAAAATCGGGCGCTAAGGGAAGAGATCCAGTTGCGTAAAAAAAACGGATGGGCATTGAGGTAATAGCCCTGGCATCTGGAAGCCGGATAAGCTGTCTGGAAGCTGATTTCACTGGAAGGGTCCAGTCCGCGATGACGCTACTGCACCCTCCCACATTTGACAAAAGGGTTGGAGGCGGCTGCTGAGGGAGAAGCTTTCGTTTCACAAGTTGCTGGCCAGCGGCGCTAAAAATGGCAGAGCTCGAAGAGCCAGGAGGGCGTTGACGAAGATGACAGAGCAGAGCTGCCACGGTTAAGCCCGTGCCAGCAACAGCCATAGCTGCGCACGATGGCTCGATGAGGAGGCGCTGGTGTTTGGGCAGAGAGGGAAGAGGTCAGCTATGCGAAGTGGTACCTACTTGATGATGGGTGATGAGCACACATGACGTGATCAGTCTCTGAGGCGTCGTTGGGCAAGCAGAAGAGTGGACGAAGAGAAGCGAGAAGAGGGTCAAGTGGGGTAGAGCATAGAGTCAGTAGGGAAGTAGTATTGTCAGTTACAGCATAAGGGAACAGTAGAGCTGTTGTTGTATTGACGATTGGAGTCCGAGTAGTACACACACACACACACACACACACACACACACACACAAGCTCCCACTCAACAGACACACACAATGAAAAATTGATGCAAAGAGTTTGCGTTGTGGGACACATCTCAAAGCTTCTTCTCTGCCCTTCAACATTTGTTTGGACCTGCGTTTTGTCCCACAAAATACCACATTTTGAAAAGCACATGCTCTACATAGGCAAGCTGGATAGAAGAAAGAAAATCATCTGAAGACTGCACACCAACCCCCAGCATTCTGCTAAAAAAACAAACAATCGCATTGATGTGCGGTATCGGGACACTGGAAGTGTTTTCCTTGCCTCGTCGGAGCATGCATTGTACACATTGTTGAAACCGAAGAGCCCCCGGTAGGGTCGTCGGTTCCGGAATTAAACCACTCAGAAAATCAATCAGTTCATTTCTTCAATCAAAGGGTGGTGGGGATTCTGGATTGCTCTGCCATCAAGGCCAGCTCCCGCAGACTTCCTCTCCAGACCTTTAAAAACATTGGGAACCCCGGTACCGCCAGCGCGATCTGCGCCGACTGCCGGCGAACGGGGGTCGACTCGGTGCAACTGTTGCGATTTCCATTCCTCTTCCACCGACTCCGCAAGGATTTCAAATGCCTCGTCCGTTTGCTCATTCCCCCATACGGTGAAAAAGTATGCCTTCTTCTCAGCTGCCCTCAGCAGCTTTCCCACGCTTTCACCTCCTCTCCGACCCGAGCTTTTCCTCCTCCTCCTCCCTCTCCAGTCCCTAATCCCAGCTGTACTGTTCCTCGCTGCCCGAGCCCCCATTCTGGCACGATCGCCGGTTTCGCCATCAGCCAGCTCTGGACCAACGGCAGAAGCCGCCTCGTTGCTTGCCTTCAAAATGCGCGTCACGTCCGCGAGCATTCGAACGACTGCACCTCGCCCAGCACGCAGCAATTGTACGACATCTGACATCACTGCAACCGCCAACTCGGGCCCGCCGGCGTCCTTATACAACGGCGTGCAAGCTGTGCGCATACTCTCCTCGAGCGCGATTCGAATCGACGGCAGGGTTGACGCACCCTTGAGAACCGAAGACAGGTCGAGCAATGCTGCGGAGACACCTGGCAGGTCGCCCGACCATTCTCCGTTATACAACCGCATGACGAAACAGTACGAGTAGGTGATATTCACAAGGTGGACACCAAGCAGTGGAGAGGGAGGTGCCTTTGTGAGCTCCTTCATGGGAGGGAGCTCTTCGCTAGACGGAGGAGGAATCCGCGCTCGGCCTTCATCGCCCTCAGCAGGTTCAAATGGCCCTCCTCGCCGCTTTTCCACGCCTGGTTGCTGGGAATCGTCCACTTCTCGGATCATAGACGTTCCACGCGGTCCAATCGCCACCGCGGTTCGGGCGACGTTCACCCACCAGGGCGTCCAGGGCTCGATCAACGAGCTAACCACTCCTGCGGCAACCGCTCGCTTGAAGCGGCACTGCTCCTCTGGGGAGAGATCTTCTAAAGAGATGGCTTCGCCTGACACTGTGAATGCAGACAACAAACCGAACGTAAGGCACGCAAGCAGGTCAGGTCAGGCGAAGAGAAAGGTGAAGCCATCTCTTCAACGAAGAGGTCCACACATGTGACTGTTGATAAACAGGTCATGAGCTCAAATCCGCACACAAGCAGACGAAAAGGAGATGAGCTCAAATCCGCACACAAGCAGACGAAAAGGAGATGAGCTCAAATCCTGCGAGCTCATCTCTCCTTTTCAAAAGAAAAAGTTATAATAATGAAGCACACACAAGCATCAGCATTCTTCTCTCTTTCCAGTTCGGTGATCACAAACAACTTTCCTTCTAGGGCGGTACTCGCTCACACTAGCTCTATCTTAAATCAAAGTAAATGTATCTGACCGTATATATGGAGGAGGTACCGGGATGCATCTGACCGCAATTACGTCCATCGCTGAGTAGAAAAAGTCCAAGCGTGAGAGTATGCCCTTAGAGACAAAACATACGCAATCGAGGCAGGTTTTTTTAACTTTTTTTTCACTTTTTTCTTTACCCATTTCCCTGTACAATTGATGTAGCATGTTCAAACCTGCATAGAAATACAACCTTCTTACAACAGATTTACGGTCCGTCACTTTTTTTAACCACCCCGTTACTCTCCCAAAGAATTCAGCATAAAAAAAAAGAAGAAGAAAAAAAAAAAGAAGAAGAAGAAGAAGAAGAAGAAGAATTCAACAGATTTACGGTCCGTCACTTTTTTAACCACTCCGGCACTCTCCCAAAGAATTCAGCATTAAAAAAAACAGAAGAAGAAAAAAAAAGAAGAAGAAGAACAAGAAGATTTCAACATCTCCTACAGGATTTGAACCTCTGACCTTCCACTTAGAAGAAAGGCAGTTGTTACGATATAGCAGCAGCAGCAGCAGCAGCAGCAGCAGCAGAACAGTACAAATGTTCGGACGATTGGGCCTTTTCTGGTTCGCATCCATGGGATAAATCAACGCTTGTCACAGATCCAACCAGTGTTTTCTTTTTTCTTTCTTCTTCTTCTTTTTCTTTTTTTTTTTCTTTCTGCTCTTTTTTTTTTCTGCTTTTTTTTTCTTTTTTTTCGTTTATGCGAGTTTTCATTATAGATAGGGGTAGGGCTTAGAAACCCCCACTTCCCATTCATGACTAACTGCCCCACTTACCATCCAAGGGGGGGGAGGCAGGCTCCGCCTTTTTTTCTGCTCATCCGTTCGAAGGGCGAGTACGCAACCAGAGTTTTCGCTTCCGTCCACAGCAACCAGCCTTATCAACAGCCGCAGTTTTCGCTTCTATCCAGAGAACATTCACCAGGTCTAGCAACTGGGCTAGGTTCAGAAACTGCACCAAGGTCTAGAAACTGGGCCAGTACAGGAAACTGCACCGGGGCCCAGAAACTGGCCCAGGACTAAATTCTGGGCAGGAAGAGGGAGTAGTGGTTAAGACTTAAGAAGTCGATTTTTCCCTCCCTCCCTCCCTCCCTCCCTCCCTCCCTCCCTACCAATCATAAGTAATAGTTTTTGCAAAACTAGTCGTTTCGCAATGTCCAAATCCTCCTTGGAAACACCACAACCAGCTTCCAGTCTAGAAGGCCCACAGAATCACTCAGTATGTACATGGCACAATGGAGGACCTGCCCGCTCCCACAAGCCGTTTAATTTCAATTGATTTGGAAAGAGCAACAAACAACTCACCTCTCTCCTTTCTCCTTTCTCCTCCTCGCCCCCCTCCTCCTTCCTTTCCCTTCCTCTTCTCCTCCTCTTCCCCTTCCCTTCACCCCTTCCTTTTTCTTCTTCCTACTGGCAGCTGAAACGGTATTCACCAGTTCGAAGTAGCTGATGCAGATCCCAGGGCTCGATCCCTAGTTCCCCAACTTACCTGTGTACAATACCTGTGTCAACTCGAAGAATTGAACCTGCGACCTGTAGAACCGCCAGTGGTAAGTAGGTCTGTCGTAGGTCTATAAGTAGCCAGGATTCGATCTGTAGACCTGTAGATTAGAAGTCTACCTGCAGTCCTTCCAGAAGGTTGGCAAGTGGTCAAGTGGTGCAGGCAAGTGGGCAAGTGGTGTGACTAAAGCAAGCCCATGTTGGAGACGAGGACAAGTGGCAAGGGCAAATAGTAGGACCCCAGTGCAACTGCACTGCGTCGTAGGGTAGTCGCCATGCAGTCATGGGAGAGTCTAGAAAGTACCAGTCCGGTCCAGCAAGTACCACGGGGGGGACTGTGTGCACCATGGGCCAGGGATACAGGGMAVRCCAACGCAGCGCAGAAGTATAAATCAAGAGGCTGCGTCCAGCCATTCATTCATTCCTGCGGATGCCATGCGGAAGCGCTGCCTTAGCAGCTTGTG